TGTGCCTGTGGCCTTCCTCCCACTCTAGAGGCCACACCTTTTAGAGGCTCCATCATTTCCCAGCAGTGTCCCAGGCTGGTGACTTAAGCCTTCAACACCTGGGTGTTGGGAGGACATGCAAGACCCAACAGCAGCAGTTTCCTTTCTTGTAAAATGGAGGCCACGGCTAAAGAGTTAATGAAAAATTGAATAATGTCAGGTAGATAACGGTGTTAGCAATGTCTAAAGGTGACAAGGATTAATGACTTCCTATGAAGGGGAAGTGACTTGCCCGCAGTCAACTAACAAGTCCCAGAAAGACCCAGAACTCAAACCTAGATCTCCTGCTGATCTCTCACCTGCAAGCAGTGTGCTTATCAGAAAGCAGGAAGTGTGTGGTCAGTTATGTGCATCTCCCAGGGGTGTCCACAGTGTCAAGTTCAACTAGTGGTCAGGGGCTGAAAAGCTAAGTTTGTCTGATGCTAGCAGACCTGAGTTTCCTTGGCTTGCCTTTCTGATGTGTGGTTAATGAGTAGTTATTGAGCATTTGTGGGATACCTAGCGCCATGCTGGTCTCTGGGGTTACATCTACAAATGCAGTAGATGTGGTTTCACCCTTGCAGGGAGCATAGGGACTGCACTTGTGGAAAGGCCATTACAGTCCACACAACTTGACAAAGATTGAATGAGGAGCAGGTGAGACCCCAGATGCAGAGGAATGAGTGGAAGAGGCACCTTTGGCAGAGTCTGGAGGAGCCTAAGAACTAGTCAGACCAGAGGAGCCTCACGGGCAGAGCCAGGTTAGGCCAGTGGGCAGGGACCCAGAGGGCCTGCCTGACAGCTAGAGTGACCACAAGAGAGCACACCAGGGAATGGGAGACAGTGAGGGTGGGAGAAGGGTGAGCTGGAGAGGAGGCCAGGGCCAGGCTGGGCCTGGGCCTTCTTAGTGAAGGGGTGGAGCTTGTGGGAGAAGCACTAAATGGGGCCTCTAGCAGGGCAATGGCAGGAAGAGGGCATTTGATGACTGTGTTATAAAGTAGGTGGTGTGGAGAGGAATGGTGTCCTGGGCTGGGGGCGGAGATGGACATCCTATAGCGTATACTCATGCTAGGATGGGCTGGATGTGGAGAGGGAGGGAAACAGCTGCCAAGGATGGTGCTCACACTGCTGGCATGGCTATCCACATGCATGAGCTGTGGACCCAGCTGCAGGTAAAGGAACTTTGGACCTGTGGCGAAGCAGCGCATCATGGTGGAGGAAGCCATTCACCTCATGGAATCCAGGAAGCAGAGAGAGAAAGGATTCCTAGTAACTCCTTCTAGAACATACCTCCAGTGGCCTGTCTGAAGCCCCCCAGGCAGATTGTGCAGGGCAATGAATGTTCAGCAAGGCAATCAGCTGGAGAGAAGAAGGGGAACCATCGCCCCAGGAGGTGTGAGAAAAAAGAGGGGACACCAGTGTGGGAAAGGCAAGCAAAGAAGGAGCTGCCAAGGAGACATAATCAGGAGAGATCAGGGTCACCTCAGCCAAACAGGCGACTCCAGAAGTGGGTGAGAGGACAGACAAGATAAGAAAAATGTCTTGAGTTTGGCATTCTGTGACCTAAGCAAGAACAGTCAGGAGCAGGGTCTGGAGGCCAGTGTGGAGTGGTGAGGAGGCACATGGGCTGTGCAGGGAGGCAGGCGCAGGGGGCCCGAGCAGGAGCCCGACTGGTAACGAGGGAAGCTTCAGGTTGTGTGACCAAGAGCTCTAACTGGGGCTGGTGGGTGGGAGGGGACAGGAGATGATGGCTAACGGGGTGGGGCCAGTGTGCTGGCAGGAGGGATGGGATTCTGAGCAGGAAGGGGGCTCATCCTTAGGTGCAAGGAGGTTCTAGCATACACAGACAGACAGCTGACCCAGGCTGGGCCCGTGGGGAATCACAGAACTGGCTAAGCCAGGCCCTATCCATGGAGGAGTGGGGAAGTCACAGAATCCCAGTGTTCAACCAGGGCAGCCTCTTGGAAGTTTCAGGCCCCTCAATGATCATCCTCAGTCTATGACCTTTGATTCTGCTGGCCTGCCCTTCTCTAAACTCCTCTCTGAGCTTCTGAACTATGCTTCTCTCCAGGGTCCCCACTGCTCTGACCTTTCTGTGCCTGAGGCCAATTTTAAGCACCATTTTTTCTGGCTTTCCAAACCCTCAGAGCCTCCCAGGGCTCAGCCTTGACACCCTACTCCTCCAGCTTGTCCTTCTCTTGTATGGTTGCCTTCCTCCTCACAAGTCTATGCACTCCCACAAATCTCAGCTCTCAGCCGTATGCTAGAGTAGACTTCATGTCCACTTCACCAGCCCCTCACACTCAGCAGTTAAAATCTAGGATCCCCACCACTTCTCTCCCATTCTGTAAATGGTTCCACTTGAGCACGCCAAGTTGAAGACTTTGGATCTCTGCCTCTGCCTCATTGTGAGCCTTGTATCTAGATGGCCCCCAAGGCCTGCAGAGCCCTGTCCAAAAGTTAGCCTCTTGAGTTGCCTCCCCAGAACACATGCTTAGACTCCTCCAAACCATTCCTAGCGCTCATCTCTTTGAGATTCCATGTGTTGGACGACACTAAGTAGGTCATGGCCTTCAAGACTGACGGTGATCCAGCCTGCCCCACTTGTCTGTCCTCATCTCCACTTACCTGCCACACTCCAGGCCTTTTAACACCTCTGCTATTGCTCCTGAGGCCCGTACTAGGAGTCCTCCCTTCTCTCTGTCTCCATCCTCCATAAGCAGTGTCAGTCCAGATAGTCCCCAGTGTTCCCCAACAGACTGTGCATCTGTGGTATGTGACAAGGTGGTACCAGTTCTGCAAGGGCAGCCAAATCAAGGCACTTCCAGGCCTCTTTTCTCTCTGAGATGGTGTCTTTAAGCTTAATGTGGAGGAAGACATGAAGGGGCCCGAGAGGAGCCACAATGCCCAACACTGGTGTAGCTGCTTTGTTGGCCTTACTGAGAGTCAAGCTCGAATACCACAGAGGTCAGAGTGGCTGTGGAGCTGGGCAGCAGCAGAGGGGAGGGGAAGCTGATGCTGAAGGATCTCCTGGTGCCTGGTGGTTGGAGGGGCAAGTGTCATGAGTAGAGCCAAGTGGAGATTGTGCCTTGTGGAGCCTCCAGAGCAAGCCACACTCGCTCTGTCTCCCCCTGGCTGGGAAAAGGAACCCCATCTAAATCTGCTTCCCCTGAGTTCCAGGGAACAGAGGAGATGGAAGTTAAAGTCAGGTGCAGACAGCCACTTTATGCCCAAGAGGCCTCCTGCATGAAAGTGAGCCTCTGTCATGTAGGAGGCAGGCACTCTGTGTTTGGCCATGGGATGCTCTTCCTAGGAGCAAAAGGGAATCGTCTCTCCCCACAGCCCTCCCAGTGCCCACAGTTTCCCCTCTTGAGCAAGATGGTGCTTGCCCAAGAGCAGGTGTTTCTCAGGCCTCTCAGCCTGGAGAACTGGCTGAATGGACAGTCAGCATCTGTGGAGGATAGACAAGGCAGATTTGCCTCTTTGGGATGTCAGTTGGTCAATGCTGAGTTGAAAAGCAGGATCTACGCGTGTTAGTGCACAATGATTCATTCACACGTGAGTGTGTGTGAGATCGTGTGAGGCAGGAGTGTAGGGAAGACTGTAAGAATGTATGTGACATCTGATGGGTGTGACACAGGAGGGAGAACACAAGCAAGAGTGGAAGATAGCACTGAGTGTGCACGAGGGTACACAGCCTAGGACAGTGGGTCCTGAGGCAATGATGGCACAAGAGTACGTGTGTGTATGTGTCTGTGAGTGTGAGCAGTGTGTGACTGTGGAGTGAGAAGAGGTTTGGGGTGATCCTTCTGATGCTGCCTATGCTTCCCCACCCTTCTTCCAAGCCTGCCCTTGTGACAGCCCACAGCACTGACTGGAAGGCCCATGGAGCAGAATAGAGTCCTAGTGGCTAGATATTCCACGGCATGCCCTGCTCTAGGACACCGGGCAGTGGGCAGCTCCTGCTGGGCAGGTGGTTGTGGAAAGGCTGGCTCCTGCTCCAGAGCACCTGGCAGCCCTGGGACCCCAGGATCACAAGGCTTTCTCGCAATGTGTGCTGTGCTCCCTCTCCCCGCAGCCCAGCAGACTTCCCAGTCTGCTGCAGACTCCCACACCATAGCGTCAAGGCTGCAGCAGCTGACCCTCGGGTGTGCCGTGCCGAAGGGCTCGGGGATTCCTTCTCTGTAGAAAGAAGAGTGCTCTGATTTGGGGGGCTGGTGTCGTCATTGGTGGCCTGTGAGGCTCCTGAGAACTGCTAGGCTGATATAACTGAGAACTGGGTCCTTCAGAGCTTCCTCATGACTGCGACGGGATGAGGGGGAGTGCAGGGATCTGGATTCCAGACTGGAGGCCAGGGATACGACTGGGATCCCCAGTGTCTTCCTCTAACCAGGGTCAGGTAGCTTCCCGGTGGACTCTTGTTGGCCCTCATGAGAGCTGGAGGGGCCGGAGACAGCAGGCTCTGGCTGTGTGGTCTTGGTGAGTGTCTCCCATCTCTGAGCCTTGCTGCCTCAGGGTCTTTTTGGTGAGGTGATTGTGATTTATTAAATGATGTGCCCAGCACAGTGAACATTCACTAACTGGCAGCTTTGAGGGCTGCCACCGCCGTTATTTTATAAGGATTTTCTAAATTGTCTGTGACTCTGGAGCCTACAGTGGCTGTTTCCTATGGCAGAGCAATTCCTGAGGCTGGTTGAGGAAGGGTCGTCTGGAAACCTGTCCTTGCTTCCCCTTGCAGGGAGCGCCAGTGCCTGGGGCTTGCAGGAGAAAGGAAGGTGCAGCCTCACTGGCCCAAAGAGAGGCAGGAGTGCAGGGGTCCACAGTGGATCCCCAAGACAGCTGGCTCCCTGCCAGCCCAGGGTCCTCTGGTTCCGCGTCACCCCTGGCTTGAAGCAGCTAGGAAGCGCGTGCATCTTCTGAGGTGGGAACCTACCTCTTCTCCTCCCTGTTTTTTTCCTTTACATGACGCCTGTTGCTCATAGGTACAAATCAAACGAAGAGTATGTATATGTGCGAGGCCGCGGCCGAGGGAAATATGTTTGTGAGGAGTGTGGAATTCGCTGCAAGAAGCCCAGCATGCTGAAGAAACACATCCGCACCCACACTGACGTCCGGCCCTATGTGTGCAAGCACTGTCACTTTGCTTTTAAAACCAAAGGTAAGAGACAGTCAGCTGGGGCATAGCACTGCCCTGTCCACTGCAGGGAGCGCCCCAGTGGGAGCCCAGCACAGACCTCTCCGTCTGGACCTGGAGCACCCCGCTTTCTGGGTTCCCACTCCACTTGGTGCCATGGCAGAGCAGCCAGTTCCAGTCCGGGTGGAGTCACACGTGGCTGCCCCAGCAGGTGCTCTTGGAGCCTGCACACAGCCCCTCCTCCACCGCACCTATCCCTCCCCACCCCTGCCAGGGTACAGTTCCTGGTTTCTGTCTATCTCATCACCCTTCCTTTTGCATGTATGCTTAGCCTTTTATCTACTGATCTGACAACCTCCAGGCATCCACACTGGTCACTGCCACTCTCACATTGGGAAATCCATTCCACTCTGAGCCACTCAACACACTCGCATGCTCTGTCCCATGCCAGAGTTCATGCCTGCTCCACCCTTCCTCACCACTCCACTCAGCCCCGGCAGCAGCTGCAGGTCACTCCTGCCCCTGGCCTCATATCAGGGTCAGGGTAGGCACTGGCATTCACCTGTGAGAGAAAGGACTGGCTATTGATGGCATGTGTCCCAGAGAGCTGTGATGGGCGATGGGGTGGCCTGCTGCAGCCCCTAGCAGGATTGGACTGGTTGACTGAGCCAGGACCATGGGCTCTTCAGATGGAGCTGTGCCTCTGCAGGGGCACCCCACAGCTTACCACGAGCGGAGCTGGGTGCCTTGGAAGAAAGCCAAGGCTCTCCACATCCCTGGCGGTATCACCCTCTTGTAATTTGCAGATTCCTGGGTCAGGGTTTGGCACCAGGATCCTACCATTTGGGAGCAGGTTGAGGGCCTCCTTGGTGGCCCTAAAGGAACCACATGATTTCTTTGGGGACAGAACTCTAGGGCAGACTTTGGCTTTGCACTTATCATTTCTTTGGTTGGTAAAGCTGCTAACAGCAGCCACTGTGCAGAAGAGCCCAGCAGAGCCCTCCAGACCCTTCCTTCCTGAATCTTCTTGCCTTGGACCTTCTGTTCTTTCTGGGGTAGGTAAGGGGGTAGTTTATGGCATCCCCTGGCTCGTAGCCTCCTCTCTGGCCATGTGCCTGTTTCTGGTCGCCTGACCCTATTAGCTGACTGTTGCCCTTCTCAGCCCTCTCTCCATCATCTTTGAATGAAGCTCTAATTTTTTCACCAAGGTTTCAAGTTGGATGGAGATGCCTACCTACTCCTTTCCTTTCCCTGATCCTCTGCTCTCTTAAGGTCTCAGAGACAATGCCCCAAAGGGTGCCCAGATTGGACAGAGAGGCTTGGAGCCCCCACACTGCTGCATGGTGCATCAAAGGCATCCATTCCTGGTGACCTGCTGTGCCCAGGGTAGTTCAGCTCAGCAGCACTGTTTCTGTCCCACATGGCCTCTCCAGTCCACTTCCTCTGACCTTAGGCTGCCAGTGGGGGTTCTGTGACAGAGCAAGACATGGTAATAACTGGCTGGTAATTTCAATAACAGGCTTCAACCTAAAATGGAAGCTTCTTGTCCAGGGCCCCTTGAAGGTGAATAAAATGTGTCTTAGAAACCAGAAGTGGCTGTGCCTCCCTAGAGCCCCTGCCACCACCCTCCCTGCTGTGAGCAGATCTTCCTTCCACTAGAGGAGGTGGCAAGAGCTGTAATCAGGTGCCCCTGGAGCTGGTCACAGGTGCTGCCCCTATTCCCAGAGTGTGTCCAGGGGACACTGCCCCATCCTCAGGGTGAGGGACCCTGAAAGAACCTCCTGGGCCTTAGGGGCATGCACAGCATCCTGCACCCAGCACAGTATCCCCAGGGAGCCACCACCTCTGCCACAGAGACAGGGAAAACCCATTCCCATTGAGGCCCACGGGCCTCACTCAGTTGCTGTGCTCTGCAAATGCTGCCAAATCTGAAAGATGTCTGAGCCCTCTTGGGACCCCTGGTTCCCCAGGAGATGCTTTCATGAGAAGCCACTCCCAACCCAGCTGTAGTCCCTTCCGGGTCTCTCTCAGCTACCACTGAGCCTGAGAGAGTCCAGAGTGCAGAATCTGAGCAGAGGACCTGCAGACTCTTGCTATGTGCAGGAATGTGGAGTACCCCACGAGACACAGTGGTCCATGCTGCCCCCAGGTTGCCCTCTACTCTCTACCAGTGGTTAGGAGTATGCAGATCTCTTCCTCCTCATTGCTTTCCTGCCAAAGCTAGAGTGAAACCGAGCTGGTGGAATCTCAACTCCGCGTATGGCACACAGGAGGCACCTTGGGGATGTGGCAGTGGCCAGTGGATGTAGACAGCAGTACATCCTGTGGAAGGACAGAGGAAGGGCACTAGAGCTCTTGGCTCTCCCTGGGACTCTGGCTCTGGTGTGCCACCTGTCTGACAACATAGGCCACCCTCAGCAGGGCTGTCTGGTCACCTTGTCCCTCTTCCGCCTCACCCTTGAGCTCTGGCCCACGTCAGGCAACATGAGAGATGAGCTGGGCCTGGTGGTCCTCAGGGCCCCTACCACCAGTGCTGGCTGCACCTGTGCCTACAAGCCCTTCCTGTCTGTCTCTGTCTGCCTGTCTGTGTCTTGTCTCTGTGTCGGATGTCAAGGTGGCAGCTCAGGCCTCTGGGTGCCACCTGAGGAGTGTCTCACTGGGTGGGGCCAGGCGAGGCCCGCAGGCTGACCCTGTGGAAGTTGGGTCTTGTTTCCTCTTCTCAGATGATTCCCAGAGGCCTGTGGGGTGGCTGTGCCACATATAGGCCCTTGCGCCGATTGCCTCAGGGGACAGAGATGGCAGCTGTGGGCCAGCATCGTGTCCATCGGGTCAACTGGTTGGGCCAGGGCAGTGGGCCAGAGCTGCAGGAGGCGAACAGGGTCACTGGCTTTTGATCCTCACAGTGTCTCATCCCTTTGTCAGGCACCTCCCACTTTCCAGCCACTGGCCTTTGCTCCTCTTCCAGGCTGCAAGGCTTTGGGTGGCCTGGGCGGACAGTGAGAAGCTGACGGAGCCCTCCAAGATGAGAGTCTGCCCTTTGACAGAGAAATGACATCCAGGGTGTACCTGCGGCAGTTTGAAGCCTCTCTTGGTTCACAGGCAGGCCCAGAAAGGGGCAGTCACAGAGACAGGTGGAAGGACACACTCAGGGCTGCTCATCCAGCATCTGCTCCTGTGACCTGCAAAATCACCTCAGACTCACAGCTCCTCCCCTGGGCATGGCCACACAGGAGGGGCGAGCCTTTGCGGTTGGGGCTCCCTGGCCTTCTTCTGAGAACCCTTGAGAACCAGACTGAAAGATGAAAACATCTCATCGTGAGCATGTCTCTCCTCCGTACCCAGCACAATGTGTAGTGGAGTTCCCAGGTACTCAGTACACTGATTGTCACAGGCAGGGCTAGGGATCTGCCCTGGCACACTGCTGCCTTATGCACCATGACTTTAATTCTCCCAGCATCCCCGGCAAATAACATAGCTAGCAGTGCAGAGTCCAAGCCTCCCAAGCTCCGAAATCATCCTGGTTCTAGGCTCCCACTGTGTGGAGCAAATAAGGACCCAGGGTCTGGATGGGGCTCTGCACAGCTGGCACTGTGACTCTGGGCCACTTGGCTCACTGTATGGGTTCCCGGGAGCCCAGCCAGCACTCAGGACAGCCGATGATCTTGCCTCCTGGTCTTGTCAACACTTGGACCTGCAGTTAGATCAGCAGCAGTGGAACTAGTCTTGGCCTGGTGGGACCTGAGTCACGTGGCCTGGGAGGCTTCTCCCAGCACCCTGCTTTGTGATGGCCTGTCCTCACAGGGCTGCTATGCACTCACTATGTATGCAGCGCCTAACAGCCTACACCTTGCAGGGAATGCATATGTGACAAAGGATGTGGTCACCAGAGTGAACAGTGTCCTTGGCCTTGGTGGCCTCAGGTAGGCAGGGGAGGAGGGCCGGCTGCAGAACCTCAGGATGGTTGGTGTCTGTGATCCATGGACGGCCCCTGCTGCTTCCCACCTCCTGGCTGTCCCACTCAGGCTCTGCCTGCTCACAACCACGAAGGTGGAGGTCTAAACATTCAGTAGGGACCTCTGGGAACCGTCTGGCCACGAGATGACTCTGTCTTTACTCCGTCTATGGCCAGGGTGAGGACAGCCATGTTTTCATCAGTTATAAGAGGATAACCCAAGCTGGGAAGGACAGAGTCATAGCCCAGGAGCAGCAGGAAGGGAAAGGAATGGTGCCTGTCCTTTGCTGCTGCTCCTCACACACCTGAGGAAATCCTAACTTAATGGTCAACCTCTCCACAAGACCCCCAGATTCTCAGAATCATGAAGAAGCACACTTTGGTTCATCCCCGGGCTTTGCTCCTGCTCTCATCTGCCCATCTCTCCTCCCCTTATGTACTCATAGCCTTTCTATTCTTTTCTCCTCCTCCACTTGTCCTCCCCTCCATCCATCCTTCATCAGCTTTCCGTCCTTTCATCCTCCACTCTGATTCCCTATGAAGTCATACGTGTATGCAACCATTCATCCACCGCATTGCCCATGCTCACATTCACCCCGCTCACTGTCTCCCCATCTCTTTCCTGACCCATCTTTCCATCCAGCCTTCCACTTATTTTCTCAATTACCCATGTTCATCTGCTTATCTAATCATCCAGTGTCCCGTCTATCAGTGTATTCTCTTCCCATTCTTTCTCTCCTTATTTTTCTCTCTCCACTTGTCCATCCATCTGTCCTCCATTCTCCCTATACTTCTATGCCAGAGCTTTACCCCTTTCCATTCATCCAGACTTACTGATAAGTGAAATTTACAAGACAGAGCAACTAACTCGGGGAACTTATGATTTTCTGTGTGAGCAACCACATGGAAACATAGCAACCCTCAGAACACAGTTGGCGAGTGGATGCTGAGCCCAAAGGAACATCCAGAGGCATATGGCCTCTGTTTTCCCAGGGCAGGCTGCAGCACCTGGTTTCGCCTTTTGCAACCCTGCTGTCCACAGAGCTCTGTGGCATGTGAAACGCTGTGCATGTAGGGAAATTGAAGCTGTTGTCCCTGTGGCTCTATAGCCATGGGGAATCACACAGAACTATAGCCCCCGCTTCCCAGCTACGGGCTGCACCTAACTTGGGACAGTCAGCCTTTTCCCAAGTGTCTTATAGGAATAGGATCGGGTAGAGCCTTCTCCAGCCTTCCCTAAACTACCTGGTCCTGTGTCTGTACTTCCTGTTGGCCTGGAGAAGCTGAAGCCAGGAAGGGGACTTCCCTAAGGAAACTAGGCTGGACCTCAGTTTTGCAGCTCCTGGTTCCCTGGCCAGTAGACGCCCCTACTCTTTCCTTCTGTCCTTTATCCACTCCCGAGAGCAGCTTTGCCCTGGTTCTTCTTCCAGACCCTAAGGCTCTGCCTTGTGGGCTCCCTAGAGGTGTCTTCAACCACAGGGGTACACTCAGTCCCCACTGCCATGTCAGTTGAGGTAGGGGTCATGACATACCACCTTTGAGATAACCGATCTCTCTGTCTGAGGCATGTCACCAGCTTGGGGCCTGACTTCAATCACAAACGGGAAGAACCAATTGTACTTGGCTAGTCTTTTAGTTTCTCCTCTTTTCTTATTTCGTCATTGTACTTCTGCCTCTCACAGCCCCACGCCTCACCACCCTAGTTCCATTACACATCCTAGCCTGAGTGCTGGGGCAGGGGAGTGCTTCCAGCCCTGAGTCTGGCAGAGCCTCGGTGACTCTGAGAGCCATGGACTACCAGCCAGGCGCCGCCTTTGAGAGCCCCGGGCCCTCCTTTGGCCCCCTGCCCAACGGCAGAGCCTGAGTCTGTTCTTGTTTCTTTCCAGGGAATCTGACTAAGCACATGAAGTCGAAAGCCCACAGCAAAAAGTGCCAAGAGACAGGGGTGCTGGAGGAGCTGGAGGCGGAGGAAGGTGAGGATCTGTCAGCCCCTCCTCCCCCTTCTTTCCTAACCATCCCCCTTCCTTCCCCACTGCTCCTGGCTCTGCTTCTCTGCCCCCTCCATGCCCAGCCCTCCACTTTCTCCAACCACTGGAGACGAAGTTGGAAGTCACAGAATGACCACCCTGCTCCCCGCCACTGGCTGTGGATCAGGTCTGCGGGGACAGTTCTGCCTGTGCAAGTGGAGCGCTGGCCCCTGTGGGTACTCGGTGACTGTTTACTGAATCAATGAGCTCATGAGTAATTATAGACAACACTGAGCACCCAGAATGTGTCGGGCACGTTCTCAGTCCATGCCCTGATTACCAGCAGACCCTCCCTTGACTCTGAGGGTACTTACTAAAAACTCACACCTGCCCTCCCATGGGCCTAACCCCTGGGTCACCTGGCACCAGGAGGGTTTCAAGAAAGCCAAAGCCAGATCACCCAACAGCTTGTGGCCTCCCAGCCCAGCCCCCCTCCCCAGCACTGGTCCTTCTGCATCATGAGCATATTACAGAGGGTCTTGTGACAGACAGGAGAGGAGGTACAGGTAGCGGCTCTGGCTGGCAGCACCCAAGCAGGAGGTCAGAGGGGCTTTGGCAAGAGGACAGAGATGGACATGGATGGTCAGTCTCTCCTGCAAGGACAAACCTTTGAGCACAGATTCCCTGAAATCAGATCAGGATTACAGTGTGCAGTCTTAGAAAGGAATTAAATTGCGTTTCCTTTTAGATTGAATAAATCACTTTCAAGGAATAGAATGTAGTGAACTTGGGGTTGTCCCCTCCCAGATTAATTGTAGGGTCCCCATGTGCACCAGGCCATTTACAGACTTGTCTCATAGGTCCCTGTAAGAGGTGGTAGAAACTTGTGTTAGCCCATTTCAAATTGAGGAGAGAAAAGCTCAGAAAGGTAAAGATAGTGGCCCACTGTCACACAAAAACACAGGTCCATACCACCCCACTGCCTTCTAGCCAGGGGACAGAAGGGGTGGAGAGGCTGAGCCCAGCCAGATCTTCCAACCCCAGTGTTCCTGCCTGCCCTGCTCCAGCCTCAGTTTCTCAGCAGGCTGGACAAGGGTGCCCACACCCACTTTTGTGAGGATGAAATCTATAGCATAGTTCTATTCTGGGCTGAAAGCTGGGTGCCCACATAGGCACCTGTGACTCAGGAAAGCCTGTCTTCTAGAAGGGAAGACAGACAATGGGCAAACCAGAAGAGAACAGAGACCACTCTAGGAAGCAAACCCTAAAAGACAAGTGAGGAGCGGGGCCGTGTAAGGGAGGAGGGGCTGTCTATTCTGAGAGTAGGGTGAGCAGAAGACGAGGAGGAAGTCAGGGGCACCAGGCCAGGTGGGGTCTGGGAAGAGCCCTCCCTGGGAGCCCGACAGCTGACCACAGGGCTGGAGTCCGCTGATGCCTGGGTCAGAGGGAGCAGGGGCTGGGAATATCATGGGGCAGGCTTGGCTGTGCTAGAATGTGAGGAGGCAGCCACGCCAGAACCAGGCTGTGTGCAGGGACCACAATGTGAAGTGAAACAAATCAGACATGTGCGTGTCACAGGACTTCTCTTATATGAGAAACCCAAATTACAAATAAAAGATCAATAATAGGAAGTAGGGAATAGATCTTTCCCATGGGAAGGGGATCTAGGGATGGAAGGAGCAGAGAGGGAGGGGAGGAGAAGGAGATAAAAAAAGGAATTAAGGCATATTATGCACATGTACCAACTCCACACGAGCCAAGTAAACATTATGAACAGCAAACATCTGCTAAAACCATTAAAAAACGAAGCGATCAGATTCCAGGCACATTTTGTGGTAGGACCCACAGTTCTCATTGTCACGTAGAAGGGAAAGGAAAGGGATGAGAAATGAGCTGAGATGACGCCGAGGTCTATGGCCTGAGACACTGGAAGGATGGAGTTGCCACTTCCAGTATGGGGCGGAGCCTAGGGAGGTTGCCTGTGTGGGACACAAGTGAGGCGCTGGCACCTCGCCCAACCACTGCCCATGCCGCAGCCCCGCCCCGTCAAGATGAGATTGAGCGCCAGCGCCGCCATGTGGTGCGTCTCAGCAATGGCACCTAGCTGCGCCCTGTGCTTTTCTGGCTGCGTGGTTCTTGCCCTGCCATGTCCCAGGCTGAACTGGCAGCTGGTGGGAATCACTGAGCATTGGTCTTGCTCCCACCTGTAGCTGCATAGCCCCATGAGGGCATCGGGAAGGGCTGACCAGCCATGGGAATCCTTTAGGGGCCTGCAGGAGGGCCTGGAGAGCCGTCCTGCACACAGGCAGATGCTGGCCCTGCTTTCTCCTACCCTTTGACCTTCATCTGGGACCCGCCTGTGAGATGGGAGACACACAGCTGGAGCTGTTAATAGCTCAGGCTTACTGGGCACTTACAACCCTCAAAAAGCTTCACAAGGTGCCTTTCCTCACTACTGTCTCCACTTTATAGATGAGGAAACACAGAGGGAGTAAGTTAGCCAGCGTTACACAGCAAGGTGGTAGGGCAGCCGGGATGTGGAACCAGATGATTTACTGCTTTTTCATGAGCAAAATTCTTTCCTAAACTGTCAGTGTAATAATGCAAGAGTTGTGAACCTTAGTTCTGACTCAGCCAGGAACTTGCTGATGTGTGATCTTGAGTATGCCTTTGCCTTCTCTGTGAATGAAAGGCAAGGCTTTGTAAACTCCTGGGGTTGCAGTAGATGCCTATCAATATCTTAAAAGGGGAATAAATGCCCAGCAGCAGAGTACAAAAGGTTGCTACCCGTCCCAACTCCTCCTCCCATGCCAATCCCCCATTCCCTTGTCTCCTATCATTGTGATCCCAGCTGTCAGGAGATCTGCCTTGGCTTTGTGGCTTCCCACTCCCAGATCTGTCCTGTGGTTGTTCACTTACATCCTACTGAATGTCCACTTTGGTGCACTCTGGGCACCTTACTGCTGCATATTGAATTTTTGGAAAGCAGTAATAGTGGGCTTTGTGGCCCCAGGCAGCTGGGTATGGTAGGGATCCAAAGCCTGAGTGCCCTGCGGTCCTGAAACAGCTGCTTGCTGAGCTTTCATGGTCAGCAGTGGGTGGACTTCTGGCATGCGCAAGCAAGGGAGCTTGGCTGATGGTGGCCTACTTGTCACCAGCTCTCACTCTGCAGGCCAGAAACATGAGTTCACAGGATTCCAGCCATGGGCCAGCAGGCCCTAACACTCAGGAGCCTGCCAGGTGGACCATGCATTAGCAGAGCCCTCCCCAGAATCCAGAATGCTGCCCATTTTAGAAAGATCTTAGACTAGACTTGGAGATGACCCAGATGGTTGAAGCTGCTCCATAAGAAGCCAGATCAGGAAACTGGCAGTTCAGAGCTGCTCTGTCTAGCTGCAGCTGCATGAGCTTCCAAAGGGCAACGACTCCTTGGAGGCAAAACCATGGCAGGAATGGGCCCAGCCCTGTAGTTTGGGACCAGCTTAGCCAAGTCAATGACAGGGTCCAGACTCTGCCACTTGGCAGATACTGTTGCACCAGCTGGCAGCACTCTGATTACAGTGGCAAATACGTTTAGAATAGTCGGCTCTGTCTGCAGGACCAGCCACCATGCTCTGTCCCATAATATTAGATTCATCATTAATGGATTCGTGGTGACTGTAATTATCTAGGCCCTTTCTCTGTGCCGTTTCTCCCCCTAGCCAACCCTGTGAGATGCATTTCTCACACCCAAAAGGGGAGACTGGTTCAGAGCACAGCACAGACGTATAACTTGCTGGCAGTGAGTCCAGTGCTGAGACTCTCACAGGGAAAGCAGGCTTGCCCTGACTCAGCCCCGGCCCACTACTCCCTTACTTGGGCAAGTTACTTAATCTTTCTTTCCTCAGTTTCCTCATTGTAGCATAAGGGTAAAAATAGTACCAGCTTCCCAGGATTCTTTGAGGACTACATGAATTAATATACTTAAAATCCTTACATCTAAACTTGCACTTTGAAGATATGAAGTAATTGTTGTGCCCTATTATTTGTAAATTCCCAAATGTATGTTGCTTGGCCATCCCCAAGATCTTGTACCATTGCCTTGGCAACCATGGCTGGTTAGCAGATAAGGAAACCGGACTTAGGAAGTTACAAAGGAGCAGCTTTGGGCCCAGTATGGCCTCGGGGCCTGAATGTTACCTTTGGTCTTCTGCTTCTCCCTCCAGGAACCAGTGACGACCTGTTCCAGGACTCAGAAGGGCGAGAGGGCTCCGAGGCTGTGGAGGAGCACCAGTTTTCCGACCTGGAGGACTCAGACTCAGACTCAGACCTGGATGAAGACGAGGATGAGGACGAAGAGGACAGCCAGGATGAGCTGTCCCGGCCATCCTCAGAGGCACCCCCACCTGGCCCACCGGCCGCGCTGCAGACAGACTCCTCACCTGTTCAGAGCCCTCAGCCCCTAGATGCCACCTCTGACCATGAGGCCACAAGAGGCAGCGTGGCCTCAGAAGCTGAGCACTTGACAGCCAGCAGCTGCTCCACGTCCAACCAGAATATCCTGGGCCTTCCCCAGCTGGGACTGGCCCCATCAGGCCCTGTGGAGAGGGACACAGTTTCAGCCCTGAGCTCCACGGCCATGTCCCCTAGAAGGCCCTGTTCACCAAGCAAAGAAACAGGAAGCTGCCCACCACTCGCCCGCAAACACTCAATAACCAAAAATGACTCATCTCTCCAGCGGTGTTCCCCAGCCCGAGAGTCACGGGCCTCAGTCGCAAGCACGCCTGACCCCCAGATGGGCCCTCCTTCTTGTGGGTCTCCAAGACTTGAGCTGTCTCCTCTCATGCCCCACTCCCTGGGAAAAGAACTATCCCCTCGGGGGCATGTGCCCCCCAAACTTGAGAGCACCACAGATCCAGACCCCTTGAAACACTCACCTACCAGGAGATGGTCTCTGGGTCAGGCCGAGTCACCATCGTGGTTAGTGCTGCCAGGGAAGTGGGCCCTGGCTGGGCCAGGCAGCCCCTCCACGAGTGAGCATGGCCTAGGCTTGGGGCTAGCTCCACGGGTTCTCTTTCCATCTGCGCCTCTACCTCACAAGCTTCTTGGCAGAAGCCCTGAGCCCTGCACCTCCATATGGGTGAGTTTCCACCACATCCCTCCAAGAGGCTGGGAGCTCACAGCTGGGAGGTCACAGGGTTGCCCTTTCTGAGCATCATACCTGGAGCTAAGCGACTCCACCAACTCAGTAGTCATGGATAATTTCTCACATAGTTCTTGGACACCTTAGGCCAACTAGTTTATTGCACATTTGCACCTCAGAAGCAGTAGCCTCCACTCCTAGTGGGTGGCATGACCTTAAGTGATTGCTTAAGTATTTAAGCAATCTGCCTCATCCCTGTTCCTCTTGTATTCTTTGAGCAAATGGCAGAGCTTAACCAAAACCGTCTCTGTCTCCAACATCACTGTCACGACTCCTTCAGAAACAGGATGGCCAGCACCATCCTTGCCAGCCATGAGCATGGCTCCCATGGCCAACATCCCCCTCCCCATCACCAGTACTCCAATCACCCCCCTCCTGCCATCCATCAGCCTGACAGGTGTGGTCCCTTCGCCCACACCGTCCCATCTTTTCATGCCATCTCTGCACCACACCGTGCTGCTACTGTGGCCGCCACAGCCCCACCATTAAGCACCACTGTCCTTGTCAGCTTTGCCTCTTTGGTCACCATGTTATGACCCAACACTGGCACTCCTAGGGCAGTACCATCTGAGGAATCTCTCCTTGATTTTTAATTTGGGGGTCACATTGAAGTTCCTGGTGGTGGGAAGGTCAAGATCCTTGGGTAGGAAGCTCACATCCAAGAGTAAAGTTGGGTCAAGCCTATTTTAGGACCAGGAGGACTAGCAAGACCAAGACCGAGGCCCAGGCCAGGGCGACACGAGGACCTCCCTGTGTGAGAACCCCTCCCCCAGGTATGCTGGCTGTGCCTGAAGGTGTGAAGACCTGGGGACCAGAGTGTGTTCTCGGTCATCAAGGGCTGAGGCTGGCCCACTAGGCAGTGCTGCAGGCAGAGCACCCAGTCACCCCCGGGCCTTTCGCCCTCGGTACTCAATGAGCCCAGCACATGACCCTCATCTTCCCATCTTGTTTCTCACCCTGCAGAAGGCTGAGCCCCGAAGTCTGTCCTGCTCACCTGGTCCTGCTCATCCTCGCTCCTCTCGACACTTCTCCAGCCTTTACGACTTCCACGGCCACATGCAGGCCCGGACAGAGGAGAATGTCTTTAGCCACCTGCCTCTGCACTCCCAGCACCTGGCCCGCACCCCGTGCCCACTGATTCCCATCGGTGGGATCCAGATGGTGCAGGCCCGGCCAGGGGCCCAGCCCACCCTGCTGCCAGGGTCTTCTGCGGCCTGGGTCAGTGGCTTCTCAGGGGGTGGCAGTGACCTGACAGGGGCCAGAGAGGCCCAGGAGCGAGGCCGCTGGAGTCCCACTGAAAGCTCGTCAGCCTCTGTGTCCCCTGTGGCGAAGGTCTCCAAGTTCACACTCTCCTCAGAGCTGGAGGGCAGGGACTACCCCAAGGAGACAGAAAGGACGGGTGGAGGCCTGGGCAGACCTCCCGACTGGGAGCCCATAGAGTCTGCACCCACCCATGGCTCCTGCTCTCCAAGGCCACCCCAGGGCCACCAGGCCACACAGTCCTGGAGCTCCCACCTGGAGTCATCACACAAACTGGCCAACACTGAGGCCTCTGCCACTCCTGCATTGGACCGTAGCAGCTCCATGGGCTGCCTGGCCGAAGCCGCTGCTCGCTTCCCAGCCCGGAGGAGGAACCTTTCTGGGGAACCCAGGACCAGGCAGGGCTCCCCCGAGCCCTCAGGTAGTGGGGAGCCCAGGGCATCTCCACCCCAGCCCAAGGACAGGGACCCCCTGAGCAGTTAGCCTCTCTCCAACCAATTCAGCATCTGGCTTCCAGTGTTCAGCAACAGACGTTTCCAGCCAACCTCCTCGAGTCACCTTGCTCCCACAGGCTCCCTTTTCTGTCGTCCATCTGTCCACACAGCTTCTGCTCAGCCCCATCTGTTCTAGTTTCCTATGTATGCAGTACCTGTGCCTTTTTCTATACCTTTTGTTGCTTGAAAAGAGAAGAAATAATCACACACATACATAAAAACAAAGCCTGTGAGAAGCTTGAGGCTGTGAATAGTTTGTGCTTTGGGGGAAAGGCTGTAGAATGGGGGCCTCCTGCCCTCCACTGCAGCAGGCAGTTGGCAGCTGTGCCAGCCCCAAGGCCAGCCAGTCATTTGCTAAGGAAAAGGAGATGCACTGAGGGAGAACACCAGAAACACAAAAAATCATTAACTGTAGAAGCAAACACTCCTATGTACAGATGTTCATGGTTCCAGTTTACTATTGCTTCATCTCACCCCGGTGAGTGGCCACTCCTCTTTGATAGCAGAAGAGCCCGTGGCCTGATGCAGGGAGGGAGGCCCCCAAAAATCATCTTTTTTTATTCTTTGCAAGAAAATAAGTTTAAAAAAAAAAAAAAAAAAAAAAAACTTTGGTTAGGATTTCAACACAAAATAATAGGAGCAAATAGAAGGTAGAAGTGGAGATTGGTCTCCAGGACCCTCAGATGCCCCGGAAATCTATTTTAGGGCCCAGGAAGTCTATTTTGGGGCCCACTGTTGCACTGAACAGGAGGTTAAGCCACCCTAGCACTGGCCTTTCTTCTGCCCAGCAATGCCCTCCTGCACCAGGAAAGGAGACGTGAGTGTCCACCTGCCCCTGACCTCGGCCATATTTCGCTAACCATGCTTTTCTGGCAGTCTCCACTATTCTCAATACTAACCCACAAGGGTGACAGGGCCAAGCTCCAGCCCAGAGCTATTCCTGAGCCCAGCCTTGGGTTCTGCTTCCTTGTGGTCCCTGTGATCCAAGGGCTCGTCCTTCTTTCGTGGCTGGGCTTTTTCAGGGCTCAGCACTGGAGGGTCAGGAGACCCATCTTCAGGGCCTCGTTTCCCCATCCCTGCATCTCAAGGTCAATCTCCACTGCCCCCAAGAAGCATCCCCAAGTCGTGACTGGTGGAACCTGCCTGGGCCTGTTCGTTGGCTTACATCTCTTTAATAACAACAGCATATTATATATCTAAATCTGGAACAAGAGGATGGTGTTTGGTACTTTCCTTAGCCTCCTCAGATTCTCTTCTGTCCACTAAAGGTTTGCAAATTATCCCAAATTACTCGAATTTCTTACCCCTTCTTAGGGCAAAAACCTGCTTCATAAGAAAAATAATGTGACCACAAATTTAAATGCCAGTAATGAACTGGACCTCTAGCATGTTTAACCCATGTGATTAAATGGAAAAGCAAGCATGCCTATGTACAGATGCCTATGGTTCTCGTTTCCAAATGGGAGAAATGGGGTTTTTCCAGCCTTCCAGAATGGTTTACTTTCCAAAAGGGAGAGGAAACAACAGGTGGGTGTTGATGCCACCTTGCACAGAAGGAGCACCTATCTGCAGGTCCCCAGGCCCTTGCCAGGCCATGTGAGTGGGGGGCGCAGCCTCAGCTCTTGGGCTGTTGACACAGTAAGGTAGGGAGGATGAGTCACTTCCGTGAGCAACTTGCACTTGACGGTCCATTCCCCTCCCTCCAGTTCAGGGCCATTCCCTGCATGGCCCCTGCTGCAGGAACAAACCAGCCCCAGGTCCATCCTCCAGCCAGACCCCTCATTTTTTCTCCTTTGCTTGCTCAGAGCTAAGGCAGAAGAGGACACTAGAGCAGGATTCTCTCGAGGTCCACTGAACTCCAAAAAACTGGGGAGTGGGACTGACCAGTAGCTTCTGGCTGCTTGACTGTAAGACTTGCTTGTGCTAGGAGAAGCCAACCAGCCCAGCCTGCACCATACTGGCACTATTTGGGCTTGGTAGGAAGTGGGTAGAAGCCCAGCCCCAAGTCTCAGCTCAGGCCAGAAGCTAGGGTTCTCTTCCTCTTGCTTCTTGGCCCTAACATATGGCCTCTCCAGTTGGACTTTGAGGGCTTGAGGCCTGGGACCTGCCTAAAGAGAATTGCCTCAGCCCTCCCTAGGCTTCCAGCCTTCCTGGGTAAGATCTTCCAGCCCAGACTGTGAGACTAGCTCCTAACTTGGGGGTGGCCACGCCCTTCCACCTACCATGCACTCCCAATTCTCCTGGCCATCGCTCAAACAGCCCACTCACTAAGGTTCCCTTCCTAGACAGCTTTGCTGTAAACAGTACAGCCAGCAGGGAAGAGTCCCCACAATTCCTGGAGGCCAAAGGGCTGCTACCCCATACAGGTGCCCAAAGGGACTGTCAGGTCCAACTCTAATCCCTTCTGCCAGACCCTAGTCTCACTCCCAAGAGTACAGGGCCCCCTGCCCACATGCACACTCTCCTAATTTGGAAAAATACTCTCAACCTATGTATGCCCCTGCCCTGGGCCCTCAGGCTGGCCCCAGCTACTCTGAATTTTCAGTCTGCCTGTGAACCATGGTCTCTGCCCCTGGAAATGGGAAGCAGTGATGAATGGCTGGTGCAGACACTTGTGCCAAAATGTTGAGATGTTTGGATGGCCACCCTTGGTTCAGACTAGCCCTGCTCCTTGGGTATTGGCAGTAGGGGGAAGCAGTTTGCCAAAGTTTCAAGCCAAACCCTGCTCTCTGCTGGGTTTTAAGCCTCTTGTCCTGAAGGCCTACCCTCCATAATGCCCTTTAACCTGGGCAATTCCATAGTCATTCTGGGGTTACCAACTCTTCTCAGAGAGTAGGCCAGTGCCCTCCTGCACCTACCCATTTCTTACACTCTGGTCCCAACCACCGAGACCCTCTTGAGCAGCAAGGCGTTCACCCTCCCACACTCAGAAGTCTATCCAGAACAGTCTGAACGAATTGGCCTGCAGGTATCTCTAGACACGACTCCCTCCCCACCCAGTCCTTTAAAATAGGACTAAGCAATATACCTAAGCTGAGTTCCTCTCTAGTCTTTGCTCCAGATGAATCTTTCTTAAAGCAAAAGTCCTGGCCAAGCAGCCGTCCTAGGAGACTGATCTTCCGCGTCGCCCAAGGGGAGAAAGTTCCCGAAGGCCTATGCCACAAATTCTGCTTCCGTGCTGTGATTTCAGTCTGCTTCCTGTTAGAAAACCGTATCGGCACTTATGATCACTTTACTAAAACCTAGTGTTAAAAGACAGAGAAAATGAAAATGTGTATGTAGGCAAATGTAAGATACACTCTCTCTGTAAGATAAATATTTGCCTTTCTTTCCTAAAAGGTGTATGTATTCTGTATGTGAAATTGTCTGTAGAAAGTTTCTATGTTCTTAAATGGCAATACATTCCAAAAATTGTACTGTAGATATGTACAGTAACTGCACTGGGATGGGGTAGTTTTGCTTGTAATTTTATTTAAACTCCAGTTTCTACACTTGCATCTTGCAATGTTGGTATATATCAGTGCAAAAGAAAAAAATTCAACAAAAAATCCATGCAGGTCTAAAGCACAGAGTCTGACGTACAAAAGGAAAAAATTACTCAGTATTGATGTGTGTGATCTTTGTTGTAAATTACATCTGTACTGTGAATGAAGTTTTTACAAGTATAATAATTGCCTTTATTACAGCTCTGGCTGAGTGTTCAGCCTGAGGATATTTTTTAAAAAAAAAATAGCATGTTGGAATAAATTTGAAAGTCCCAACATAGCCCTGCTTGCCTGGATCATGGTCTTTTCTTGAAGGGGGTACAGTATCAGAATTGGGGGTACACTTAGTTGCACACGTTATCACACAGCAATTGAGCCCACAGAAGGGAAGTGACTAATTCTCAGCCACACAGCCCACGACTCTTATGGGCCTCACTTCCAGGTTTGTCAAGGAGACCCCAGATTCACTGCCATGTGATCTGGGCCTGTGTCCCTGGCCTATGGCAACTGCATCAAATTACAACCGCAGCGGCTCTCGTCCTGAGCCTTGGTGGCTCTGGAGGACCCACTCCCTGCCTCTGTCCTAGCTGGTGGCTGCTTCCATAAGCCTTGGCCTTCCTGGGTTTTGGACTCACCACTCTTATATCTGCCTCTGCTTTCCCTCAGGGTGTCTCTCCCCACTTCTCTCAGCACACTAGTCTGAATTGAGGACTGATCCAGGGAGCCCTCACCTCAAGATCCTTAGTTACATCTTCAGAGGTATTGGTTCCAAACAAGGTCACATCCACAGATTCTGACTTTTGGAGATCATCATGCAACTGACTACACAATGAGACACAAATCCAGATCCGAGCATGGCTGCTTACTGCTTGTATGACCTTGGGCAAGTCCTCTAACTGCTCAGTGCTTGTTTCCTAATCTTAAGCAGGGATTAAATGAGATGGTATATCCTGCAAGGTTAATGTGGATTCTGAGCAGGTCACCAGGTAGGGAAGGCCCACCAGATGTGGGCTCTGCCTTTTGTATGCAACTCTGCATCGTTGAGCAGCAGTGACTGTAGCAGTGAACAAGACAGACACAGCCCATCCTCTGAGGGGTCCGGGCTGTCGGCAGATGCTCCATTTGGAGCATCACTGCAGCAGCTACAGAAGAGGAAAGTGCTCTAGACCAGCGGGAGTCTGTGCCACCAGAAACCTCGCCTGGAAAAGCTCCACGGGCTGGCACAGGAAGAGAAGCCATGAGAAGGCGTACAGGGGACACTCAGAGTGGAAAGTCATCCAGGAATTCATCAGTAGGACCCAAGAGGTTCTATTTGAGCAGTGAGGGGACCCATGCTGACTTGGGGAAAGCTGGCCTCACTCCATTCCTGGGCCAGGATGCTGAGGCCTTTCAAGGTGCTGATTAGTGTGGGATGAATAGCAGGGAGCGAGATGGACCGGTGAAGAAGAGGACACCTTCCCAGGGGCTGAGGGCACAGGCAGAGGCACTGGCTGTAGCTGAAGGAACATGAGGCCCAAGGATCAGGCTAACCAGGAGGAGGTGATGAGTCGGAAAGGGTGAGACTGACGCTCCCCCTAATCAGCTGGGGGCGCAGAGGGAAGAGGAGCAAAGTTAGCACCTGACAAGGAGCTGGGGTGTGCCTGAGGGTGATTTTCTTGCAGAGTGAAGTCATTTGAGGAAGTTGTAGGGTAAACACTGAAGAGACTGGGGAGATTGAGCAAGATTCAGAAGAAGAGAAACCCCAGTGAGGATCAAGATGGTGTCCCATGTGACTCCAAGGGACTGGACACCCTGCTTCACTGTGGTAGATTCACCCAGAGGGAGCAGCAGGGGTGGAGGTGAAAATATTGGCAAAGAGGGAGGTGAGGTTAAGGGCGCTGCCTCCACTGGCCAGTGTGGAAACAGACCGGCATAGCGGGGAAGGGGGAAGACCCAAGGTCTCACGATGTGAGGGGTGCGGAGAGCAGAAGAGGCAGGTGACCCATGAGACCATCGTGGAGAAAAACTGCTGACCACGGGGAAGGGGTTGAGGTAGACTCAGCAGGGAGATTTCTGGAGGGGCAGAGGCCTGAAAATGAGCATCCATGATACTGAGAAAGTCACATAGGTAGTGGTCAGGTTATCCGGGACAAAGGCAGGGCTTAGGAGGCGATCTGGGATGTGAGTCAGGATAGGCTCTGCTGTGCTGCAGACACTGTGGCTGTCAGAAGTGTTTCTCTCCCCGCCCCAGTGACTGTTTAGTGTGCGTCATCAGGGGCAATGTGCTCATCCTAGTCACTTGGAGACCCAGAGGACAGTAGTTCTGTCTCTGTGCCCCCATGAGCTTAGAGGCAGGGAAAGAAGCTTGCTTAGTACCTATTCCTGCCATCCACACTTCTGGAGCCACAGCTAATCAGGCCTAATGGCAGACAATGGGGGTATTTGGAAATAGCCTGAATGATGGTTCTATGAGGTTAAGACTTCTGAGAACTGGACCAAGGTCGAGCAGATGTCAGCAATAGAATGGGAAGAGGGTATAGCCTGATGGTGTCAGCCTCTGAGAAGCTGAATTTTTATGGGGTTGGGGGATGGAGTGATCCAGAAGAGGCCATGGGAAGGAAGCAAAGACAGTATCCAGTGTTAGGCCCAAGGGGTATGGAAGGATGAGGAGCCATTAAGCAGCCAATGCCAGAGAGCATGTCCAAATCTCCGTTCAAGCCAATGGGGAAGTGGTACCCTAAACAGCTCCAGAAGAGAAAGAAGAGCATGGATGCACCCAGACCCTGCCTCCGACATTTTACAAGCCCACTTATAATCATTACAACCATCCTGCAAGGTGAGCTACTATTGAATTTGTCGTTTTTTTGCTGCTGGGACAAAATATCTGGCATCTGCAATTCAAAGGAGGAGAGGCTTATTTTGCTTATGGTTTCAGAGGGTTCCATCTAGGATCGGCTGGCTTCAAAGCAGAAACGGCATGGCAGAGGAAGCCTGCTCAACCCATGGCTGCCAGGAAGCAGCAGGTAGAGGAAGAGCCAGATGGACAGCTGAACCTTCTAAAGGCCCACCCACCTCCTCCAACCAGGTCCTACCTCCTAACAGCACATTCAGCTATGAACTCATCAGTGGATTCCTCCATTGATGAGGTTAAGTCCTATGACCTGATCACCTTCCAAAAACCGCAACTCTGAACACATGAGACTTTTGGGGGACATTTTAAATCCAAACCATAACATCGTTCCCACTTTGGAAGTCAGCAGCCAAAGGTGGGTAGCTAGTTGGTGGCAGTAAGACGACTGAAGCTCGTTGGCTCCAGTGCAACCTTTCAGGGAACTGCATTCCTCCCTCATGCCCCAAACCCACTCTGGCTCCAGGGAAAGTGCTGGGTCTTAGATGGCTCAGCTGCTACTGCTCAGAATCCAACTGGGGTTCTCTCCAGTAGCTGCCAGGCTGTCAGCAGTGCCACCTTGGAGCCAATATTGGGTCTCTGTGCCTGAGGCTGCAAGCATGAAGCCTGGATACCAGATGCCAGAGCTAGGATTACAGGATTTGAGATCATGAAGAGGCTGCGTGAATTCTTCAAAAGATCAGCCACCTATTCACCACTATCTGCCACTGGCCTGAAGCCTACCAGTCATCTATCCATTGCTGGCCTCTTGCAGTGATTCTCTAGAGGTCATGAGACCCTTTTCCTTTGGGAGTGGGACAGGACAGAATGCATGACCTTATTCTGAAGATAAAGGGTAGAACCACAATCAGATCAGATCACACATGTGTTAGTCACACAAGCCTGACAGATCTGGCTGAGTCTCAGAAAGGCACTGGCCATGCATTGTCAAGCTTTTCTGGGTCCCAACTTGGACTTGGAAGCCTGCCTTCACCCCTGTCTTTGAACCTAGAGACCATGCTCTGTCCTGGAGACAGGTCACTGAAGCAGGACAGCCTCCGAAGGCCAGACCAGCCCAAGGTGGCAGTGAGTGGTGAGAAACAGAGGAAGGAAGCTGAGAGTGGGCAGAGACCTGAGGAGGCTGCCACAGAGGACTGCTCTGCATGGTGCTCAGGAGTTCCTTAGACAAGGGAACTTCTTATCTCACCCTTTTTATAGAGCAGAGAGCCAGAGCCCAAAAAGATGCCCCTACACTGAGGAAATGGCAGCTTCCTCTGGAAAGAAAGTCTAGGCCTCTATGCTACCGTGCAGCCCAGGAGCCTAGGCTGGAGCTGGAGGACGCTATTGTACATATCCACCAATTGCATCCTTTAGAGAGATCCATCTGCAAATTACCCCTTTTTAGTTGAGAAAACTGATTCCAGAGTTGAGAATAGCTGAAACCAAGGCCTGGGCTAGGGCTCCCGAGTCGTCTTCAGAGCCACCTGCACCACCGTCGCTACCCCACCACTACCCTAGGCCTGAGTGCCACATCCCATCTCTCCTGCCCAGCTCTGCCTTTTTAGGAAAGGAAAAGAGCAGCCCTGGTGGCAGGTAGGCAGGCAGGTGGGAGGGCATGCTAATCCACCAGCTCCTGCAGCTCTGGTTACCAGTGGTTTGGGGCCCAGGCAGGCTGGCTGGGAGTGCCAGCCCAGCCAATAGGTGCTGCCGCCAAGCTACACTGCCAGAGCCATACAAGGCTTCGGCACAGCCCAGTTCCGAGCCAACATAGGGCAGCTCCAGTGCCGGCACCTGCCCCACCCCTGAGCCTGCCAGCCCTGCACGTCCTCGCACTCTGCCTAATCCAGCCTGCAAGCAGGCAGGGCTACAGCACACGTGCACCAGGCGCAAGGTTCTCCGAGGTCAGGGAGGTAGCACCAACCGGGCAGAGGCCAGAGTCAGGGCAGAGACCTAGTCAGCCATGGGGATGGTAAAAGGGAGTAAAAATGATGGAATTAGGCCTGGTCCAGGCTGTACCATCTCTCGGGTAAGATTGTTTGATTCCATCCTCCCTTTTTCCCCAAGCACCATCTGTTCTATCCCTTTCATCTTTGAGAGAAGACCCAGAAAAGTCAGTGTCATCACCACATCTTCTAGAGTCTTCCCAGGGTCCAAGTCCCAGCTATGTAATTCATCCTGGTTCTAAGGTTGCATGCATCTCTCAGGAAAAAGGGCACTGCCTAGCATGCACCTGTCATGAGAGCAAGGTATACATACCCTTGTGGACCAGTGTGTGCCCATCATCATTGCTGTGGGCCTGGAATAGTAGAAGTAGGTGGGGCCAGCAGCCCCTACTCCTAAAATCCCTTCCCATCCATCAGCTCACAGTGCCTCTACCATAATGCCCACAGGACCTCTGGGGTCCACTGACAAGC